GGGGGAGGGCTGTGCTCTGTGTGTGTGTATCGCAAAAATCTACGGCAACGATCTAGACAAAAATTCCCGCCCCCTGGATGTCGCGGCGATGCGTTTCGCTAAAACCGAAAAATTCCCTCTTCGGCGAACACACACGTCGCCGGGCTGAGTCGCTTTCGGCTCCCCGAGCGTCTACGAAGCCGTGCAAGACTGTTAGCGAAATGTGGAAACGGCGTCCGCGGGGGAAAAAAAACGACTGCAAAAAGAGATAGCGCGCCTGACGCGGGGCGACGGGGAAAAAAGTCTGGGTGACGATTCGACTAGATTTGTTCACTCTGTACCGAAGACCTGTCTTAATGCCGTCCCATTCCCTAGGCGTAGAAAGATTTCCAAACTTCAGGCACATTATTTCGGAATATTGCATTGTGACTGCTGCTTCGGAGCACCGCTGCCGATTCATCGAATTAGCAGCGGTCGTGATGCACGAATATTCACGCAGCGCTCTTGGAGAAATGTTCGACGCCATTGTGCCTAAGGAATAATGGAACGGCATTGATAGAGCCTTCTGTGCCGCTGAGAAAAAGCGTGCGGCCAAAAATTAAGAAGAAATCAACGAGCGTGTGCGCGCGAGACGGAACGAAATACTGAAAAAGAAATCGCGTCGAATCGACGGCGCAGTTAACGTGCTAAAAATGAAGAAAGCTTCTCTTATATTCGTAATGCTCTCCGATCTCATACTTTCGCACTTACGCACACACACACACACGCACGCAACATATTTTTCTCTTTGTCTACTGTCATCTATCGCACACAGAAGCACACGTCATTCTCCCCTACGCGGGCATGCTGAGCTACAAGTTGGCTGTTAAAGTTTTACCTTATCTTTTGACGCGTTCTGCGAACATAATGCAAGAGCAACATTATTAGTCGACATGTAAGACATATAGGCACACTGATTAAGCGTACATTGAAATATTACTTAACGAGTAACGAGCGCCGCTCGCGTGGCTCGCGTGTCTCGCGACGCGCCAGCCACGATCGACGTCGCGACCGTCGCGCGTATTAATGCGCTCGATAAAGAGACCTTCCTCGGTCGTACACACACTGCATCATGTACGCCTTAAGCCCATTCTAGAATGACCGTCGGATTACAAAGTAACACGTATGCGGTAAACTAATTGATTCATTAGATCGGTACGGTTCAAGAATAATCGGCTATGGGTAGGTCAATTTCCTTACGTCTTATCGTGTACTCTTACCGTTGTGAAATGGGCTTTATCGTTATAATTAAAGTTACGTATGCGATTTTCGACCTTATGAATACACGCGTTAAGGCTGAAAATCGTGTAACTCTCGATCTAGAGAATGGTAAGGCATACGTGACGCATTGTGTACACTCTGCGTCAGGCGTGTCGCTTATTAAGACTGGGATTACTCGTTACTATTTTCGACCTCGTGCCTTACAGAACGTTTATATGTTTAAGATGGAAAAGTCGCGCGAGTAATCTTAGTTGTAACGAGTGAGACACACACGAAGCAGCGTGTGCTACATTTGCGACAAGGGAAGATAACGAAAGGGGATTTCTGGTGCATCAACGCGCGAGCACGCGCGTAATCGTAAACAAACGGAAAGACAACAACTTCTACACATATATGCAGCCTGAGAAAGAAAAAAAGCATGGCAGCCGAGTGTTGGCGATAAGGCAAGCTGCGAAAGAGTTTTCTTCGCGTAATCGAACGACCATAGTTTTCAAAGAGAGTGCGTGTTTCGGTCTTTTCTCGTTTTCGCTCTTCTTTCATTCATTCTTTCGTCGGGGGGCGTGTTCTCCTCTTCTGATTCTTTTTTCCTCTCTTTCCTGTGCCCTCCTTTTTTTTTTTGCTTCCCTTTGACATTTCGCACAGCGCGCGACACGAAACATTCGCCGGTCGGGCGTGATCTTGCGCGTAAGAGAAAAAGAGAGAGAGAGAGAGGGAGAGTGCGCGGCAATTAAAATGCGTGTGAAATGAGGGTAAACGAGGCGAGTGCGCGGAAAGAAACGGAAGGCAGCACGGTATAATTAGATAGTGGAGAGCGGAAGGGGGAGAAAAAAAGAAGAAATACCGCGAGTGGGCAGGCATGTGTGTGTGAGTAAAAGCGCTTCTGCCGTTACGCACGAAAGAAAAGTGTGGAACTCTGTGTGAACGTCAAATATATATGTACATCTATGTATTTCACAAGCCATTCTCACCTTTTTGCGCCCCTCTTAATCTTATACTTTATTTACTGCCGCGCCCTGCCGGTGTGCGCACACCGCGCCACCGCGAAGATTTTCCGCGAGACTACGCGAGAGAAGCCGGAGCTCGGGTGACGCGAGATAAAAAAAGGAAGGGGACAAAGTTACGGCTGTCGAAAACAAATTGGGCGTTTCACTCGCAGTGATACGTCAGTGGTGCGAAAAGTAAAAAAAAAGGAGAGGAAAAAAGAAGGAACAGGGAGATAAAGGAAATTAATACGATGCCTCTGAGAGAAGGGGGATTAGCGAAGTTTTACGAGAGGGGAAGGGAGAGGGAGGGAGAAACGATACGGTCCTCGATAACACTCGACCTTTTTCCTTATCGAATATTTGAAATGCGCGCTCGCGTGTAACATCGTTTCTGGAGGAATTCCCCCTCTTATCTCACGACGGAAGGAAATACGAGCGCCACGGCAAAAATCGCGCGTCTGATTCTGCATAAAATATCCTTTTTCACCGCGGTGTTGTCGATTGCATTAACGTTCTCGTGCACGAGCGTCCCGCGGGCGTTTCCATTACCGCGAAAGTAATCGGGAATTGGGCAAATTCCGGTTATCGAGTCGCTGGATGCGACGGTGGGAAAAAAGAAGTGAAAATATCCAAGTGTGCGATCCGTCGCAACGAAGAATGCCGGTGAGAGGGCGGACGGGGGGAAGGAAATCGTTGAGATAAAGGGAGAGGATCACCGAGAAAACAAAGAAGAAAAATACAGAGCCACGCAACCGAAGGAGAAGAAACTCTTCCAAGTAGACGCTAACGCAACGAAATTGCAACACAGATGCACTCAGAGAAAGAATCAGCCACAGGAGCTAAATTCTAGTAAAAATAGTTGCGGCAGCTAAAACGTGTCTTCGAAGTAGAGACAGTTAATGTCATTATTGCAGCAGCTAAATTTATCAGCTGTTTGAATTTATGGCGAAAAATGTGAGCTTGATCGCATAATAGTATTAAAATCACATTTATATTTCTAAATAGAAATTTTTTCTTTTTTTTTTTTTAACAGAAGCTCTCCTCAAGATAATAAGCACAAGCCAGAGTTTGCTTTAATATTTTTGTTTGAAGTACTAAACTTACGGAGTCGATCCCGAGAAATCTCTAGATCGCGAGTCAATCACGTTAGATAATGATATATCGTTTCATCGATTGATATAACGCGGTAGAGAGAGAGGGAGAGAGAGAGAGAAAGAGAGAGAAAGGGGGGGAAAGAGGAAAAGAGAGCATAGCTAACCAAACTTGACTACTCGTGCTGATAATTTCAGCCGATAAAGTTGAACCTCGCATTTTACCTCGAACAGTCAGCCTTCATCGATGATAGCCAAGTTCGAACTATCTAACCGAGATTTAGCCGCTATCACCGAGTCATTTCTCTGATTGTGAGTACGGGGGGAGGGGGGCGAGGGGGGCGAGGGAAGATCTGTCTGGTTCACGTACGCTTTCTTCGAACGTTTATTGCCACCAACTTGTCGCTTTTATATAACAGTTGTACGTGAGTATTCAACGCAGATATTCGGCTTTCGTGTTTTGTGTGTGCGTGTGAGTGTGCGCGCGCTGTGTGTATATATATATATATATATATATATATATATATATGCGCACGTCGCGTCGCTCGTTTCGACCGTCTGGCCCGGAAAGAGGGCCGTGATGAAATATCGCGAAGCTAACTCCCCCGGGATTGTGTTCCGCACGCTCGCGATTTTCCGGTTTCACGTCCTCCCCCGGTTAATACGCACCGCTGCGCGGCGTTAACGAGCGATTCTCAAACGAACGCAGAAACGGAGAAACGCCGGAGGAAGCGGGCCGTAGAAGCGATGGAAACGGTATCAAGAGTTTTCCTAAGCGTATTCTCGCGCGCGCTCTTTTCTTCTCCGCCCGTAACGCGTCTTTTCCTTCAGCGTGCGAGCTCGAGCTCGCGCGAGTAGCGCGGCTGGCTGGTGGCTACGGGGGTGTGTGTACACATGTGTGTGTGTATATACGCGTGTTTTTCTCGAAATCGTGCGGACACGCGCGAGTACGCCGGGAGTTTTTCGGCCTCTCTCCTACGGGCTTTGTCGCCGAATCATCCCCCCCGGGTGTCGTAATAACAGTCTTTCCGCTTCACACACACATCGGTATTTTTTTTTTTCTTTTCGCACTCAAACCTTTACTTGTTACTGATACGTTTTGTTAACTTAATATCGTTACTTTGTGATTTTCTGTTTTTTTTTTCCGTTTCGTTTCTTTGTTTTTTTTTTTCTTATTATTAAATCTACTTCTTGGTCTGCCACTCTGCCTTCTCGGACTTCTTGGGCTGTGAAGAACAACACAGATTGCCTAGTCAACTACTACTACTACCACTACTACCAGTAGGATACGTGTACGAAAAAAAAGGATCTACTTGCCGGTCCTCTTGAGGAGATCTAGCGCTAGCGAGGGAGAGAGAGAGAGAGAGAGAAAGAGCGTCCCCCGCGTCCCGGACGTCCCGGAGAAGCGCGTGTGTCGACGGTCGGGCTTCGCGGTTAATCGATTTGCGCGGATTCAACGGATTCCCGGAATGACGACGCTCTCATAAATTTCGCCCCGAAAGTTTCGCCCGGCTTTCGATGAACCGATGATTAATTACCGCGCGATTACCCGCAGCGCGCGCGCGCGCGGAGATTTTCGGGGAATTTAGCATCCAAATTAGCCGATAAAATAGTGCCCCTCCGGGCACGTAACGAGCCTCCCCTCCTCCACCGAGGGGCAGCGGAGCGAATGTGGCGCGATAAATATTTCAGCGGGACCCGGCATTATCGGGATGCAAACAACGGACGGAAAAACGCGGATCTCCTGAATTGGACACGGTACACTGAACGGAAAACTACTGATACGAAGAAAACCTGCCGATCGGGTTTTATACACAAAAAGAAAACCAGGGTCACAAAAACTGTTTCATTTTTTTTTTTCGCTGCAAACGCTACGCTACTGTACAGTACACCGCCTGCCCGTCGCCGGTGCGGTCGTGAAAAATCGGCGCTGCGTTCCCTTAGAAAAACCCAAAAATTGCCGAGGGATTTATCGAGAGCGAGAGATCAAATTCGCAGAAGCCACTCGCTCGGGGGTGCTCTCGACTCCCGCGAATATTATCGACGAGAGGGCGAGGAAACGCGATAGAGAGCGCCGGCTTGTGCTCTTGCAAACTCCGTCTCCGTCTCGACGAATCCGAAGGAACGAGCGGATAGACCTCGACGAGCAGGGGAAAAATAAATTTGCGGAAAAGGGGAGGAACTCGCGTCGCGCGGACGCGGCTCCGATCGAAAACGATCGTCCTTACCTCCTTGTCCTCCTCCTCCAAGGTGAACTCCTTCTTCTTCACTTGTTTCAGCTGATTACGGAAGTTAAATTCGGCGGCCTTCTTCTGGAGCTTGGCGAACTTATTCTCGTATTTCGACACCTTCTTCAGGGTTGGTTTCATGCTGCGAACGAGGATGCGTCGCGCATTAAAGCGTGCGGCCTGCCGCGAGGATTCTCGATCGAATTGCGTGCGAAGTTTAACGCACGATGTAAAAAGATCTTACGTGTATAAATATCAGGGCTGGGTGAGTTAATTTTTATTTTCAACTGAATTAAGTTAAATGTCGGCGGCCTACGAAATTAATTTAGCTAAAAATTACCTAACCAAAAGCTAATTTAATTAACGGTCAAATTAAAATTAAGTTAACTTGCTAATTATACGTAAAGCCACACGTATATATGTTTTTTGCACAATTAGATTTTTAATCGTAGATTAAATTTATGTGAAGTAATAAAAAGATAGTCTATCGTAATAAAATACCGGCTGTTTTATGTTCAGGATTTCGTACAAGAAAAGGACACCAGCGCTCAGAGAGAGAAAGAGAGAGGAAAAGAAATCTGCTGGTATTACTTTTTAGTTTTCTATTACGTTTTAGTTTTCTTATCCAATATTGCAAGCAATCCGCGATAATTTTAATATTGATGAATTATCTTAACTTATATAAAAAGAAAGTTAACACGTCAAAGTTAACGCAATTTAAAATAATTGACTTAAGTAAAAAGTTACTAACTCTTGAACTTAACTTTAATTTAATTAACTAGTTATTACCTAACCCTGATAAATATATATGTAAATACGTAAATATCTATAGATATAAAAATAGTGAGAAAAAAAATCAAATAAATCTGCAATAAAGACAGATCGACAGTCTGACGTGGAAATTTTAACTAAAGAATTCAGGCAACGTTGGAAGATTAAATGAACAATTCAGTCGACCTGAGGATGAGTTTGTTCAACTTTCGTTTGGAATTGTTTCAGCTGACGATTTTTATCATATATCACATATAAGTGTGTATATAACGAATACTTACAATTTACCTCGGAGATCGTTGACCTGGCTGTTCAAGTCCGCGATCTGCACGTATCGAATACTTCTATTAACATCCATGGCATTTGAACACGACGATAATTTCGATCTCATGCGATTTTAACTTTAACGATATCTCTCTATGTACAAGAATGAGGGAAATTCACGCTCTCGGAAACATATGTCCATCGCGCGATGTGATGCAGTGCGAGCGCGTTTGCGGGAACGCGGCTCGTCGACTACCGACCCAGACATCGGTACTTGGGTCAAACGCAAACAACGACATTCGATTCGTCCCCTTCCCGCGGGAGGAGGGAAATATAAATCAAGAAATTTGGACATCATGGGGCCGAAACTTTCGCGTCTGCTTCACAGGCGATCACAGGTTCGCGGGACATATTTCCGACCGCGAGCGGTGGGGCCCCTTCTCGCGATAATGTAAGCTTCTCGTCTCGCGGGACGAGAGGGGGAAGAAACAAAGAAAAATAAAGGTTCTACAGCAATGATTGTGAAACATCGCGCGTGGAAACGCGGTTAGGTTAGTGAACCTTCACGCGAACGACATCAACAATCCACGTGCCACCAAAAACCGGGTTAGTCGGAAAAAGAAAACTGAACTGAAGAAACGAGACGAACAGGAGAGTCAAATCACGCCGGCATGCGTCCTGCGTAGCAAAAGCAGGCGAGAGAATAGAATAAAAAGATAGAGAGAGAGAGAGAGAGAGAAAAGGGTTACCACACGTTGAGCAAGCGCGCGGATATATTCAGTCTGGCCGGCCACTCGACGTGTCGAGATTGACACTAAATTGGCTTGCGGATTAACTGCAATAGCGCTTGATGGCGATGGTTCCGGGATGGAGGGAGCGGTTTCGCAACGGAAGACGGCCGGACGATTGCGGAAAAATTATAAAGGCGGGAGGACGGAGGGCCGGTTGACCACGGGGAGAGAAGAGATAGTGAACGGGAGATCAATACTACGATGGGGCAAGGGAGGGGGAGAGCGGGATAGTCTTGCTATTGTAAAAACTTACGATGCGCTTCGCAAGCGTTCCCCGAAAACTCCGTGGAGAGCTCGGCCGGGGAGCGGGAATCTTCGCGAGAATCGGCTCACCGACGGGGATCTCCCGAAACGATCCGAAACGCGAGCGCGTAATCGCGCGATTTTTTGACTTTATTGCGCCGATAGTCGGCGAGATCATTTCGCTCGGCGAGGTAATTCCTCTCGACGAAACGTCCTCTCGGCTACGCGACCGGAAGTCTCTCCTTCTGCGCGGCGAAAGGAAGGTAAAGAGGGAGAGACGTAGAGAGAAAGAAGAGAATCACGCGATCTAGAAACACGCGGGACCCGAGGAGATCGATAGTTTCACGACTGGTAATTATTGTAATAAAAGAAAAAAAAATGAAAAAAAACCACAAAAAAGCGGACAAATATGAACGACGGTAACGAACGGACCGTTTTTGAATCCGGCCGACGCGGATCGAGGGTGGACGAGGCGAAGTAGTGTCCGACGACATGGCGAGAACCCGTAAAATCCGTCGCGGAGAATTCTCTCTCGCGCGCGAGAGAGAGAGAGAGAGAGAGATCGCGCACGCAACAGTCCGGAACGGATTACACGTCTGTGCAACAATATCCAGTTGATTCTCGTGTCGCCATCGTGAATAGTCCCCGTTTCTGGAAGTATCTCTACCGCTCTTACAGGTAACACTGATCACTCTACTTTTCTGGAACAGCTTCTTCTCGGAGCGGAGCTTTTCTCTACGAAAGCCACTTGTCGGATTCCCTCCCTTTCTTCTTAGGATTCGCGCTCGGTCTCATTTCGTCCCCTACTTTTTTCTTTTCCCTTTTCACCTTCAGTTCCTCCCACCCGCGCGAGTTACGAGAAAGGGAGAGAGATAGAGAGAAAGAGAGAGAAAGAGAGAGAGAAAGAGAGAGAGAGAGAGAGAGAGAGAGAGAGAGAGAGAGTAAGAGAGATAGAAAGAGAAATAAAGGACGGGGTGTACGATGGGGTGTGAATTTCATTCTGGCCAATCGGGGGACCGGCTGGTCACGAACAGCCCTTTCGTCCGCCGCGCGTGGATGATGAGAAAAAAATTACAAAATCCACTATATACAATCCGTTTTCTAGAACTCTGCCAGAGCTCTGTTCCTCTCACGCGAAGCGTGAAACCAATTCCGCGAGAGAGATCGATGCCGATTTTACTTCGGCCACTTTGCGATCGGCCCTTCGTGACGACACGTACGATCGACGGGTGTATTTTAATCGCGCGCGCGTCCGCGCCGATGACACTAATATTTTTTGATGAATTCTGAAATGACGGACTGATGAGTAATTGAGTGCTCGGCGATTGAAAATTCACGTGCTGACCATTGATTAACTCGTAAAAAATTCATCCGGATTGTACGCGCTATCGCGTAATTAAAATACCAATGGCAACATGCCGCGGCAAGAAGGCACGAGACTTGAATTATTATCTAATAAGGACAGCGTTTGGTTTCGTTGTTTTTCAAATTAGCTGTCTGTCACGCTAATCTACGAATTGAACCTTGGAATTGCTTATGAACCCAGTAAAGTGACATAAGATAAAAGTAGTCTGTATGCCGAATCTGAAAATCAAGTCCATTTATTGCTATCACGTAAGGGATTTTAGCAAAATCGCAACAACTATATTGTACAATTATACATATAACATATGAGTTATACATATATATATTAGAGATGTAAATATATTTTTGAACATCTACTTTTGAATCCAAACCTTAGAATATAACGCAGATTAAAAATATAACACGCTAAATAAAATAAACATGTTGAAAGTAAGCGATACAATGTCCATGTCGTTCATAAATCACTAATTCCGGTTTAATTTGATGCATGAATATTTTAATAAATCGTCATATTGTCGTTATATACACGAAGAAAAGATTGCAGTTAAAATGATTACAAGAATTTGTAATGCTGGATTATACCGAAATTATTATCGAAATTATGATATGCCTTGTAATCTTTAATAATGTGTACATACATAATTAAAGGCCACAATACACGCGATTTTAGTCGCACAATTCCAGTATGGTCCAGCATTACAAAATTTTGTAGTGTAACTTTTACTGTGACATTTTCCCATACGGGGAGTCACTATGATCGAAACAAAAACAGATGGAAACGTTAATATCATTCATTGCCTTTATGATTTCATTACTCTCACGGAATCATATCGCGTAATCGCGCGCGTTTCAATGCGAAAATATCGCGATAGAAATTTACCTGATAGGAATTTCCCGGCCTCGATTTTGGATTTTAGAGTGATATCAATATATTCGGAGAACATTAAAATGTCTGACGCAATGAATTCATCGTCGACTAGTGTTATCATTCTGATGGTCGCGCGAACGAAGCGGCGCGGAGGCGCTCGTGGATTCGCGGCTACGCGCGATGGCAGCCTCGTCGTCCGGGAAATGACGAGAGATACGAGGACGATCATTTCGCGTCTTGAAAGAACTCGCCCGGGGAAGCTGGAAGAACAGAGTTCTGCCAATGAGAGGTCCGCTATTTACAGCCTAATTGAACACCATGACAAGAGGACACTGACAGTCGGTGGTGGTGGGTGCGTGCGAGTCGGTGCAAAATCAATTTCCTTTCGCTCTAAGGAGCGTCGACGACGCCTGTACACGTGTTTCTTTTTTGTATGCCGACGTCTCTCTCGGAAATTCCACACACATATATATATGTACACATTTATTGTCCATCTCACAAAGGGGTCAATCGAATGGCGATGGGTGGGCAAGGGTGAAAGATGGGGGGGGCGGTGTGGCGAAGGCGAGGGCGAGGGTTTACGGCCGATCGAAAGGAAGAAAAAAATGAATACAACGAAAGAGAGAGAGAGAGAGAGAGAAAGAGAGGGTGGGTTGGTTGTTTGCTGGCGTAAAAGATTCTCCACATCTTTCGATCCGTTCTCGAGCCAGTCCACCTTTGTGAGAGTTAAGAATGGAGAAGAGAGAAATAAAGCGTGTACGTGGCTGTAGGAAAGAGAGATATACATGTACAGAGAGAGAGACAAACCAAACTCTACAACTTTTCTGGCGTCTCAGGGCCGGTCAGGGGTGGAGAGGGCGTGGGAGATGACGGGCGGCGGCGGCGGCGGTGGTGGTGGCGACGCGATAATCGTTTTCCGAAGTCGCGTACGCGAGAATGATCCGCCGTGGATACTACTACTACCCACATACCCACCGCGCCGACGTAATGCCTTTTTTTCTTCCTCTCGGATACGTTCTCGCGAGTATCGCAAAGCGATTACGTTTTTGTACAGCTGACGCGAGTTCGGTATAAAGCGCGCGGCGTGCTTTAGAGACGATATTCGTTTTTCGTTTCTTTTTTTTTTTCGAGAGAGAGAGAAAGAGAGAGTGTGAGAGAGGAAGAGAGAAAGATAGAGACGAAGAGATAGAAAGAGAGAGAGAGAGAAAGTAGAGTGAGAAAGAGAGATTAACGAGGAAAAGCGCGCGTTTCTCACCGAAGTCGCGGAAATTCCGCGCGGCTGTTTAAGGAGGTTCGTTTACCAAGTACCGTATTTCAAATGGCGCGTCAACGAAACCTTTCATAAATTTACTATTTGTTAAGCAAAATTACGTCTCTATACATTCACTTCGCTATCCAAATAATAAATGTTAATTTGAAACGAAGCTGAGATAAATGTATACACGCAATATTGTAAATACGGGAATATTGTTACTTAAAATTTTTCTTATCAATGCTATATTTTTATGCGCATCGTTTGATCCACTTATTTTCAAAACGAAACGGTCAATAATTCTGAGATTTGTCTGTAATATCTATATATCAGTCTTCAATATTATGACTGCTTTCTGAACTTCTTACATATTATCTTATATTATCTCCTTAAATTATCTTCATGTATTACCTCACACACAAATATGTCAGCTCAAAAGAGATTTTTGTCGAATCATTTTGATCCCTACATATACTTGCGCAAATAAATTGATAATGAAATATTTCGGTGCGATGAAGATTACTGAAATTTCTGTCGCACAT